GTGTGTGTGTTGATTTCTGTTAAGAGAAAATTATAATTAAGTTAACTCGGACATTTTCCTTTTTGCATCTTTTAAGAAATGATATTGTTACAGGCATATAATACATGCAAAAAGAGATACAATTAAAACTAAAGTATATCAAATAACTAACAAATCAGAAAAGGGGAAAAGAGAGAAAAAAGAATAAAAGGGCCTATTATAGTTATTATCTTGAAACCAAGTCCTTGTAATTTGTTAATTATTGCTACTCTTATAGCTAGTAAGAATTCACGCATTTCCTTATAGGCTTGAGTCAAACCTGCTATATGCTGCAGTGTGAAGTGAAAAAAAATCTAATTGAATCTTTCTTTGTCCTGAAATAAATGTAAGCCCACGGTTACTGAATTTGAATTTACTGGAAATGCAGTAAGAACAAAAGGGAGGCAGTGATCAGCAAGAAAAGTGCATATTCGTCTCTCTTTAATGGATTTGAAACACGTGAAAAACATACTGAAAAAGAGCCGGACAATCCAACATTACTGTCACTTTCATCAGTTTGATTTATGCATTTGTTCCACTTTTCCCTTCACTTTCTAAGCACACTGAGGCACACCACACACACACACACACACACACACACACACACACACACACACACACACACACACACACACACACACACACACACACACACACACACACACACACACACACACACACACACACTCGGGCACAGGTTTGTCCCTGTACATGCTGCAGCATGTACACAAGGGATTATTTTATACCTGGCCGGATAGAAGATGAAAGGGGAGAGATTCAGAGAGAAACAGGTCAGGAGTTATATCAGGAAGTTACATAGAGTATAAAGAAAAATAGGAAATTAATTGTTTATTTGAATAAATGCATTAAACTGTGAATTGTTAATATCTAAAAAAACTGACATTTAAACATTCAAAATAAAAATTGTTAGTATTTTATTTATTTTTCAAATGCTGCATATTTGTTTTTCTATTTTCCCTTTTCCTTATTTCTTTCTTCTACTTTTTAAAACTTTTTTTTAAAAATCTCCATACTTGTTAAAGAAACGTTTAAGATCAATCAATCTCAGATAATCTTTTGATAATTCGGAATTATAATAAAACAGTATTTTATTTATTTTTTGTGCAAAATTATTTTAGTATTAGAGATTAGAGAACACACACACACACACACACACACACACACACACACACACACACACACACACACACACACACACACACACACACACACACACACACACACACACCCTGGAATCGATCCTCTGAATGAGTGGTGTCCCTGAGCAGGGCTGAGTGCAGTTGAGCGACAGAGACAGCTCTCTTTGCGGAGGTCGGTAAAATGGTCGGAGTGATTCAGTCATAATCATTCTTTCCCCTCGCTCAAACTTTATGGCTAATCAGTTTGAATTATTCTCCTCACTGTCTCACTTGTCACCTCCATTGTCTCTCTTCCTCTCTTTCCTGGTTTCACAGCTGTTCACCGACTCCACGCCCTGAAACTCGTAAAAATAATCGGTGTGTGAGCGATCCTAACACACCCTCATTACCACCCTCACACTCTCACTTCACCTGACTTTCACCTGGCATTCAGTATCGTCTCCTTCTCTTACCTGTTACACCTCATCCCCTCCTCCCCACACCCAAAGAGAGAAATATTCTAAATATATATAATATATACCCCCTCTGAAATGTGGTGGTGTTGAAGTAGCATAACATAGAAATACGCTAGTTAACTACTGCACTTATTTGAGTAAATGCACATCATTTTTACCATTGCCTCAACACCCACTCTCTCTCACACACACACACACACACACACACACACACACACACACACACACACACACACACACACACACACACACACACACACACACACACACACACACACACACACACACACACACACACACACACACACACACACTTCCCCACAGGACTAGTTGGTGTTGACCTTTCCTGTGCTCCGTTGTCTCCCCAGTCTTTAGTCCATTTGAAAAAGCCTGAAGTCTTTTCACTTTTACCACTGACCCCAAATAGAGGCCGATCCAATTACAGCTCAAACCTCCTCTGTGAGCTCCCTCAGCGCCGCAGCCGTTACTGAATATGCGTGTGTGCGCGTGCGTGTGTGTGTTTTTCCGATATCGAAAAAGAGAAGAGACACTTTTGAGTGTCTTAGCAGAGTGTGGGGAGCAGTCAGACATCTTTCATGCTACGCAGGGGCCGATTAAATATCATCAATGGTGGGAAAAGTCTTCTTAAATAGGACCTGTTATGCTCATTCTCAGGTTCATAGTGGTAAAGTTCTTTATTTGTCTCATACCGCCTGTGCTGCAGCAAAAATGTCTTTACAAACTACTAAACATCATCACATTGAACAGAAGCCGCCTTTAGCTTAGCGGTGGTGACATGTGACCATGATTTAGTTCCTTTAGCCTAGGGCTGCTCAATTAATCGTATTTTAATCGCAATTACGATTATGGCTTGCAACGATGACGAAAACAACATCATCGAAATAAAACGATTATTTTTTTTATTTTTTTTAATTATTATTATTACTTTTTTTTTAAATTAATTTATTTTTGTGTTGGTTTTTCAGTTGAATTATATACTTAAAGTCCAGGGTAATCAATCAACTGTTAAAAACATACTGTTCAAAAAAAAAATCTTCAATAAATTGATGTTTTCAAAGTAAATGGATAATCGTTTTTAATAATCGTGATATCAATTATTGACCCAAATAATCGAGATTATGATTTTTGCCATAATCGAGCAGCCCTACTTTAGCCTGATGTTAGCTTTCTAAAACTTGTATGTATCAGAAACGTTTTCGTCAAAGATGCCCGTGCGATGCTTACTTTGGGTCAGCCTACAGAATTACCCCTCCCATCACCACTCTATTTATCCTTTAACTTCCTGTCCCTGTCTATCCGTCTGGTCTTTTTGGAAAAGTCCCACCCACATATCATCCCTGCTTTGTTGTGTTTTTGCTCCTCTCTCTCAGTCTATTAAGCCTCTTTATCGCCTTCTCCCTCCCTGCGGGTGTCTCTGTTAGCAGGGATTAATAAAGGGTTGTTAACCTCTGTGTGTCCTCTGTGGAGTGTACACAGAGCATCCTGGGACTTCAGGCTGCCTCTGTGTCATTCTCTAGCAGCTAAATGAGATGGGCTGTGGGTAATTCTGTCTGCCACTGCAAACAATATAAACTGCAAGGGTAAAATGAGGTTGTTAAGCAAGTTGTTTCTGTCAGTGTAAAAGGTGCTAATGAGCTCCTGCTACGCCCACAGCGCCAGAAACCCCATGTTTTGTGCAATTTTATTTGGCAGTGGTTGACTGATTAATGCCCTTTTTTCAGATTGTCCTATTGGCCGATATCTGTCTGCACTCACAAGATTAATTATTTATTAATATTTTATTTGTTCAAGTAAAATGTAGGCTGCGCATATCGAGGTTTTCTGTAACTGTCTGTTCACATATTATTTTCCATTAACCAGTCTTTAAACACTGCCAGAGCCCATACTGTGTTCCTGTTAGTCTTTACTTCCTGTCTGTCTTCTTCTGCTGATTTCTCTGACTTCCAGAGTATTTAACTTTTCTTTACTGGGGACAGTTTAGCTAACATGAGTCCTACGTTTCTTGCTCTCCAAAAATACAGATATAAATATTCAAAAAGTATTCCATGCTGTTTTCTGATGGATGAAAACAAATTATTGTTGTCCACAGCTGACGTTAAATTGACCGGACTTCTTTCTGTGGATTGATATGACCGCACATTGATCAGTGTCATCCTTAGCAGCGATCTGTTATTATTATTATTATTTACAATAACAAATTAACCTTGGTAAGCCCTACATAGAGTATCATCTCTACAAATCTCAAAACTGCTCTGTTGAAACATGCAAAAGTCAACGTGTGAATAATACATTTAATCATGGCTGAATAACAGTCTGCGATTGTCGTGATCTCACTTTTTGTGTTTAATGTTTCCTGTTTTATTTTTAAATGAATTTTCTGTTTGGGTGTTGTCTGGTTTTCCTTCCTGTGTTTTTGTTTTCCCGCCTGTGTGATTGTCTGATTGTGTTCACCTGCTGCCCGCCCTCTCCAGCTGTGGGCGTTTCTCAATGTCG